CTGGCATGCTGCTGGCTGCCTCAGCCGTTCCCACGCGCCGAACCACTGCGGCCGCGTGCAAGTGTTACTGTGCTGCTGTCTAGTTGGGTCCCACCCCTGAATTCACCCTGTGTGTGCGTTTTAGTGCTAGGCAGAATGGAGGTTCTGGAGGAGAAGGAGGAAGTGGAGCAAGCGGCAGAAGACCTGAATGCTTTGAGGATGAGTGAAAACTTCCAGGATGCGGAGGAAAAGGTGTCTGTGGAGCAAGTCTCTGTCCCAAGTGATGTACCGTAAGTCACATGTCTCTGGTCGTTACCAGGATGAGCAGAGATGGTTCCTTTGGGGCCCACAGGGAGATTGCACACACAGGGATGGTATGTGTGGTCCCCTTGTACAGGGAGGGGAGTGAGTTTTGTGTGCCTGGTGTGTTTGTCCAAGAATGTGCCTGTGCAAGACAAGCTAACTCACTTGATTGTACATCCATTCACCACTGCATAAAGATCCTCTGAGACTCTCATAGTGTTCAAAGATCCCCTAAGCCTCTGGGGAGATGCTCCACAGAGGCACTTGGCAATGTCAAAATCATATCCTTGGATGTGTCCCCATTTTTCCCCTGTGAAACAGGGAACCCCTGCCATGTTTTGATGGCAGGTCATCTTGCCTGTATTGCTCCTGACTTATTACTTGTGTCTCTCTGCCTCCCCCTGCCACGGAAGTGATTTTGACTGGAGCTCAATTGACACATCCCTGTTACCATCTTCATACAAGACAAATTCCCCGAAGGAAAAGAAGCTGCTGCACATGGCTGACCATTTCCTCCAGCAGTACACTCACCTCTGCCCTGACCACAAGCCACTCTTCCTCCATCCAGTCAACGAGTGTGGTGTGGAGGTATGGGGTGGTGTGGGACTGGGCCATGGCACAGGGAGTGCTTGGCTTCCACAGTGCTGAGTGCTGGGGAAGGACAGCAGCCCTTCCTGCCCTCCCTCCTGGCCAAAGGGAGTGAGAACCTGCTTGCTGAGCCCACAGCACCCTGAGCAGACACACAGCACTCCAGGAACACCCTGGCTGTGCAAATCCACGAGCACATTGCACCAGATACGTGGTGGTGGTGCCACGTGGGCTGCAGGCAGCTCACAGTCCTGGAGCATGATGCTTAGGAAACTGAAAGACCACAGAAACATAAAGGAAAGAAAAAGAAACACATGAAATAAGTAAGGCTCAGGTTCAGTCACACATACGGGGTTCCACAGTTAGGTCTTACTTGAAGCTTCGCAGAAGTTAGAGGGAAGGAAGTAAATGTGGAAGTTTGTGGCCTAGTTTTGTGTTCTCTGGGCCCAAGCTGCATAACTGTTGTCTAGCTCAGGACTTGATGCTCTCCCAGGCATCTGAAATTGCTACTTTGTACCAACTTTCGACCAAAATTGTTGTACCATTAAAATACAAGGCAAAGTGTGGTAGAGGATGTAAAAGCTGGAAAGGGCAGTAGCCACTCATCTCGCTTGAAAATAAAGAACTGGCTTGCATTTGTAGTATGTCTGAGCTGAGCTTGAAGTTTCAGCCACAGACAAGCAGCCAGCCTCCCAAACCCATGCAATTTCCATCTTGGAACAGGTGAGGAGGGATACTGATGCTGTTGATATGCTCTAGGGAGGTCCTGAACTTGAGCTGCAACATCCAGGGGTGGTCTGAGAATGGCTTTGGACAGGAGACTCTTGGCTAACCAAAGCCCTCCTCTTGCCCTACAGAAGTTTGTGAGCACAACGCTGAGGCCAACCCTGCTGCCTTATCCTGAGCTGTATGACTGGTCTGGCTGTGCCAGCTTTGTCTCTGGTTACCTCACCATGGAGCCCCTCAAGTGCCCTATCTCACCGGTAAGAAAGGGGCTGCAGTCCCATCAGAAACAGCCCCATGATGGAGGTAACAGAAGGGTTTCTCAGCAGGACACAATGAGGAAGCCCCAGTGGCTGGAGCTACAAAGGTCTTTGACCCCTCTGCCATCCCCTCATTATTTAGGCAATGCCCTGATTTCCCCAGGCTCTGTGCACTCTGTTGAACCTGCAATCCCAGTGCATGTTCAGTGTTGTACCTTTCAAGCAATTAAGTACCATTTCTACAAGACTGGGCCTGACCCCACTCTCAGCCAGCCCAGCTGACCAGCTGGGCCACTGTGGGTGCAATGACCGACAAACTTCCCCTCCAAAGACCAAGACACCTTGGTACAGAGGAGCACATAAAACCATGGGGATGATGCTTGACCTCAGTGATGTGTTCTTAGGGACTTTAGACATTTCTATTCCCAATTTTGGGGATATTTTGGGGTGGCTGAAGGGAGATTTCTAGGCTAGCAAGAAGGGATGATGACGGAGTTGGGATAAGTCCTTGGCTGGTGTGAATCAGCTAAGACAAAGAGAACACACTGCTTGAGGACTTCACAGTGGCCCAAACAATCTGCACCAGCCACATGCTGGCCAAGTGTGTCCCAAGAGTCCCAGGGTGTCATGAGAATTCTGGCACTTTGTCACCAACCACTTAGCAGCTGGAGTGCCTGGATCACCTAAGGTGATGTCTGAGATCTGGGAGGGAATAGATTGTGTAGAACCTTGCTATATATGTATGTATTTGTATTGTATAAAGTATATATTTGCTTGCTCACCATGAGAGCCAGAAGGGAATGTTTCCTCCTTTTACCTATAACTTACCTTATGGGTCTTTTGCTTGGAAATGCTCCAGGCTGAGCATGTGGAGGGTAGCTCGAGCTACCCCCAGTCTACACTCTACCATTTGGAGGGTAGACTAAGAATTTGGAGATGGAGTGAACTCCCATTCCAGAGCTGGGGTTAGCATTAGGTTTTCAGCAGTTTGATGAGCTTGTCCTGCCCATCTCTCCCTGTAGTTAAATTTGTCAGCAGATTTGGGGTCATAATTTCCTCAGATCACTTTGGAGGGGACTTTTAGAGTCTGTGGCTTATGTAGGAATGTTATAAACATGTTACCTATGGGTGCAGAGCCCAGGGATGTGCTCTCTCTCTCTCTCTCTCCCCTGCTCCCTGCCTGGTGCATTTTTCAGCTCCACAAGACAAGGGCTGTGAACATGCATCTCTCTCTTTCAAGCCTAGTTCACTCTATTCCCCAACCACCATCCTGAAATACCAGCGAGGGAACTGCTTTGACTTCACCATGCTTCTGTGCTCCATGCTGATCGGGGCTGGCTATGATGCCTACTGTGTGCATGGGTATGCCACCCGTGAGATATGCACCCTGGACCAGACTCAGGAGCTGTGCCCACTGCTCAGGAAGCCACAGGAGGTGAGACCTGCAGTGAGTGGCAGGGAGGAGCCCAGCATACATGCTTAGCCTGGCCACTTCCAGTGAGCTCCAGAGCTGAGCTAGGGGGAACAGCTTCAGGTCCACATTGTGTTTCACTCTGTACCAGGGACCTCTACCAAAGAGATCCTTTGAGTGATTTTCCACAGTTCCATAAGACAGTCTTTGGATTCACTGAATTTCTGCTCACCAGGGGCAATACTGGAAACTGCCAAGGGTTGGGAACTGGGAGGCACCTTTAAGCCATATATTTTCTTCCTTCTCTTGGTCTCTGCCGGGTTTCACAGCAATATTCTGCTTTTGCAGAGGCAGGTACCAAAAGAAGAGATGAAGTCCAGCAAGTGTGAAGTCAGGTTCCAACTAGACCTGCAGAGCAAGTTTGAACTTCAGCAGAAGGTCAAGCAGAAGGAAGAAATTGAAGCTGCTCAAAAGAAGGAAAGAGAAGAGGAGATGGCCATGGTGAGTTAGTGAGGTCCACCTCACTGTAAGCTCCGGGAGCAAGACTTGAGACACAGATAATGGCTGGCCAAAGAGAGGAGCTCACCACCCTCCTCCATGAAGTATCACACAACCCTGCTCATGGCCATGAGCACTTGGCCTCTGGAGCACAGTGTGTGCTGGCACAGGAATATGTGCTGGGTATGTGCTACCTCACTCCTATAAAGAGCATAAAAGGCCTGGAGTTCTTTAGAAGTGGGCAGAGGAGAGGATACGATTGCTATTGGGTTGGACTAAAGTGGCAACAAAATGGCAATAATCATTGCTCTGTCCTGCAGGAGGTGGAAAAGCCCAAGCCTGACCCTTTGCATGGCTTACGGGTGCACACATGGGTTTTGGTTGTGTCTGGGAAGAGGAGTGTTCCTGAGACCTTCTTCATCAACCCCCTCACGGGAAACAGCCACAGCACCAAAGATGAGTGCTTCCTTGGAGTTGAGAGTGTCTGGAACCACAGGAACTACTGGGTGAACATGCAGGACTGCCGGAAAGGTTGCCAGGTAAGGAGCCCTTAAGCACCCTGGGCATGTGAGGAACACTAACCTGGGTCTTGGGGAAGTCCAAGATCAATAGTGGTCCAGTTTCCACTTCACCAGTCCCTGTGTTGGCTCTGGTCACGCAGCTCTGATTACATAGACTCTGGAACTACTCTAGGGCATCCCAGACTCTGAACTAACAAATACAGATCACACCTATTAAACCTCTACAGTGCTAGAATTTCAGCTTTTAAGGCTGGCTGAACAGTCATTCTCTCAAACAACAGCTTTTGAGACAGAGAATGTTTTGATCCTTTAAGGCATGGCTCAAGGCAGGAAAGATCTTCATTAAGCTCTTCCCACACCTCAGCTACTCCCCAGCTGATGCAAAGGTGAGAGTCTGAGTTAGAGCAACTTGACCTTGAAGTCATGAATGCCTTGAGGAAGGAGGCAGAAGCATTTCCAGCAGCTTCCTCTCATCTGTGGCAGAGGTACCACGAGGAAAGGGTTCTGCACCCTCTAGGAGCAGGGACAGTGTTTGGGGTCCCACCAGCCAGCCAAGGGTCTAGTGGGCTCACCTCACTGAGCACCAGGTCTCTAGAGTCCTTAAACTCTCTGACTCTCAGCCAGGTCCAGAGCGCTGCAGACATACCAAAGCAGTGTTCAGTTTAGTGTCAGGCCCTTGAGACTGCCCTGTAGTTAAAAGAGTTTATTCTGTGTGGCCTAGGATCTCAGCTTTGATTTGAGTGATGCTACCCACTGGGAAATGATGTTTCCAGACAGCAACAGGTTTTTTGAGCTGCTCACAAAGTTACCCGAGAGAGACATGGATGACATGGTGAGTGACCCAAAGGAGGGTTCTGGTGCAGTGGGAATGCTGTATGGAACCACAGGCCTGCATACGTCTGTCTGCTTGCTGCCCTCTCCAGGTCAAGTCGCTCCTACTCTTCAGATTCCTTCTCAATCTTGGAAGAGTTCTCATGCTTTCTGAAGCAGGACCCCAGTGGGTACTCCTGGTGCCCTAATTGGCTAGGGACCTCTGAAGACCTCCAGTGCATTGAACTTTGGGGTGAAATAATTTTAAAAAATTAAATCCAGACTGAAGTTTTTCCAGACAC